ATATATTTTTAAAAAACACGTGCTGGTCTTTCCCAAGTTTCCTTCTGTCCTGTAGTGACCCTGACATCACAAAATGCTTGTGTATGCTTTTACTACACTTCCCCTTCTATTAGGTTAAAAAGGTAAAGGGACCCCTGACCATTAGGTCCAGTCGTGACTGACTCTGGGGTTGTGGCGCTCATCTCGCTTTACTGGCCGAGGGAGCCGGCGTACAGCTTCTGGGTCATGTGGCCAGCATGACTAAGGTGCTTCTGGCGAACCAGAGCAGCACATGGAAATGCTGTTTACCTTCCCGCCAGAGCAGTACCTATTTATCTATTTGCACTTTGATGTGCTTTCGAACTGCTAGGTGGGCAGGAGCTGGGACTGAGCAACGGGAGCTTACCCCATTGTGGAGATTCGAACCACCAACCACCTGATCGGCAAGTCCTAGGCTCTGTGGTTTAACCCACAGCGCCACCCGCATCCCTCACACCCAATGGGCATAGGTGCATAGTGCAATGTGCGTATATGCACAGACAATTCTGATCTTTTGTTAGTAACCTTTGGAGAATGCCGTGTGCATTTGGAGATGCTCTTGTGTGATTCTTGTGCGAGCAGGGAAGCTCTTCAATAATTAGCCACAATGATAAAACTTCAGGAGTGTAGAAGCTGGTTAGTCAGTTGTAGTAAAAACAAAAAAGTCCCATGGCAATTGCAGAACTGTAAGGCCTACATGCATTACCATGCCATAGTGGCAGCACGGTTACCACTTCTGTGGAGGATGCTTGAAATATTTGTTGGGGTAGCTCTGCCCCCATCTTCCCTGGGCTACACAAGGCTTAAGTGCCCTGAGGCAAGGCAGAAGCCAGGGTGCCCAGGTCAACTCCTGAAGGGACTATCAGTGGCCTGAGAGAATCTTGGGATAGTCCCACTTCCATCTTTCTACATCTTAAGACAAAGAGGAGAAGCCCAGCCTTCAGAGCTAGTACCATCAGCTTCTGAAGTCAGACTGCAGATATTTGTAAATTTTCTTTGTGTTAATAATTGGGAATTGCCTTGGGTGCCTTCACAGAAAGGTAGTCTATAAAGGCAATAGCCAACTAAATAATGTATGGGTGACCACATGGCATTCACAGAGCATATGGGAGACTCTCACACCTCTACCACTGATCCTTGGGGCAGCTTAGAGAGTGAACCTTTCCCAAGCACTTAAGGCAGGCATAGGCAAACTCGTCCCTCCAGATGTTTTGGGACTACAACTCCCATCATCCCTAGCTAGCAGGACCAGTGGTCAGGGATGATGGGAACTGTAGTCTGAAAACATCTAGAGGGCCAAGTTTGCCTATGCCTGACTTAAGGGAATGAAGGCATCCGCTTTCAGTCAGGATTATGTGCACTCAGAAGCCCTAAATTGAGACCCTTATGTTTAGGATTGAAATGCCATATGAAAAGTGCTTTGTGGGTTGTGTGTCTAGTGCTATCCTGCCCTACTAGCTGTGTAATAACAATGACATTGGTTTGCCACATTCAGACATGGGAGCATGCCCCTTTCAAAGAAACAAGACCATTATATTGATGATGCTATGTCTTCTCAGAGGTAAGTCACACTGGAGTCAATAGGACTTACCACAAACTACTAATGTGTATAGGGTTGCAGCCCCAGGCAGGTTTTTAGGATTGTGGTGGTTATAATGAATACTTCCTCTTGGGTTTTTTTTGACACGTCTCTCTGCCTGTAATTATGATTTTATGTATGTTGCATTTTTAAAACTCTATCTCACTTTGACAATTCCCATTGAAAAGCAGGTTATAAATTTGTATTCTTCTAAGGTTGATTTCAGTGGGTTCAAGTTAGTCATGTTCATTAACTCCAATGGGTTTCCTCTGAGTAGGACATTTCCTACCAGCTGTTGTAAATACCAATCCCTCCGTTTAGCTAGAGCACATGGCTCCATACAGCCAATGAAATATTCCGCATTTGATTATTTTTCTTATATTATCTTGAGGTTAAAAGATATTTAAAAACAAAACAAAACAAAAAGCAACATTGTGAGAAACACTGTCAGTTAAACCCACTTGTTAATATATGAGGTTCATTATACTGATCAGGGGCAATTGACTAGTATGTATCCCAAACATAGTTATTTTTCAGAATGTCTGAAAGCAAGTTGGTCAAAAACCCAGAAGAAAAAGAAACTGTTAAATCCATTTGTACATTGATTTAACAGAGAAGTATTTCATTCTTCTTGTGTTTTTCTTTTTTCTCTGGGTGTCTTGAAATAATCCTTTTTCTGTCTCCATCCTCCCACTTAGACATTGTTCACAGACTTACTTATTTATGAAGTCTGAAGGTTAGTTCCTACCTGCTGAGAGTAATTAGCCCTGTTCTTTGTGTCCTATGCAATCCTGTCTGATTAAATGTACACATTTGTTTTACTTCTTTTCATGTCCCTTTTCTCTTTACTCCTGTTTTCCTGATTGCAAGTTGCCGTGATTCTTTTTTTATTAAAAAAATCTATTTTGCCTGCATCTTTCCTTTAGTATGCAAATTTCTATGTGAACTTATGGTATATATATATATGCTGTGTCAATCGCTGTTTTATTATTTTTCATTCATGTTCCCCAGAGCAGACAGTTTTAGGGAATACCGGTATCGCCCGCCCTCTAAATTGTCTAAATATTGCATGACAGATTGGCTTTGTTTTGGAAGCCCTTTAAGATCCAGTGGTTCTTAGTAAGAGCAGCAGGTTATGCTTCTTGTTGTGTGTGTGTGTGGAATGCTTGGATTTAGTACAGCCTATACTTTTTTCTTTTTGACACCATTTCTATTAGGCAATTTACTAATTCCCCTTGAATTTACTCCGTGTGTGTCTTTCTCTCCCGCTCCCCCCTCCTTCCCGTCTCCTCTTTTGTTCCTTGGCCCATGTTAAAGTTTCCAATTGACTCCTCCATTGTTACAATTTGTCACTGCTGGAAGATCAATTTGTTTTACTCCCCTCATCAGCACAGTAGAATCGGGTGCCAGATGTCTTTCTTTCTTTCTTTCTTTTCTTTTCTTTTCTTTTTCCTTTTTTAAAAAAGCAGCCACATTATTCTTCTGCTCCCAGTTTGCGCCTGTTTGGAGCCTGATCGCTGGCTGGTAACTGGAAAAGAATGTTCTGTTGCGCATTCCTGAACTGCATCCCCACCCTCCTCCTCCGCCCACCCTCCCCCAATAATCTATATTTGGCAATTCATTTACTAGCCTGCTTTGGGGACCACACAGTTGGATCTCACACAGAGAAACAAGCGATATTTTCTGTCCCCTAGAGCCAGTGCGCTTTTGCTTGTTTGTTTGTTTTCTTTTTCCTGGAGGAGCGAGCGAGGGGAGCCGGGTGGCGGGACGCGCAAGCAAGAGCGGCCAACGGAGGCTTCGCACCTCGAGTCTCGCAGCCCTTGATTCTCCCGCGCCACAATTAACTTCTTCCCATTCAACCGCTCTCTGCCAATCTCCACCAGCCCCAGTCGGGAGGGGGGTGGGGTGGGCAGCGGCGGATGGTGCTGAGCCATCCCTCCCTCTCGTTGTTTGGGAGGCGACGCCTAATCCCTCTCCAGGAAAAGGGCTCTGGCACACTTTGCCCCGGCGCTCGTAAGGCTCCGAGCCCCGCGCGACCCGGCCGATCTTCCTTCCGAGGAGGAGACCGACGGAGGAGGGCGCCGGGCGGCTCCTACCCAAGGCCCGAGGAGGAAAGCCCTCCGGAGCCAGGGACACTTTCTGGTCGGGAAGCTGGGCGCTGCGCGCGCGCGCCTTCCCCAGCCGCGCTCCTGCAGGAGCAGCTTTCAAGTCCCAGGCAAACTCTGCTCAGAAGGGAGAGGGGGGCGAGGGAGGCGCCCTCTGCCTCGCTTGCTGCCCTGGCTCAGCTATACTCACGAGGTTTATCTCCAATAAACTTCCTAGCTCCTCAGGACAGCAAGATACATAAATATATATTTGAGTGCAGCCATGTAAATATCTCAGGGACGAACAGTTCCGTCCTGGAGCCCGCTTACTGGGACGGAAATCGCAACGGGGCTTACTTTCAAGTAAACGCGCAGAGGTTAGCAGCCCCAAGTGCGGTGCTCCGCGTGTGAAAGTTGACGGCTCAACAAATTGCACCGCTGCTTCTAGCCTATTTTTGCGCGCAAATGCACAACTGAGGCACAGTGCCATTTTCTTTTAATTGCGTGTGTGTGTGTTTAGCCTGTGTTTTCTTTCCTCTGGGTCATTTCTCTCTACGCCCCTCTCTCCTATTTTCGCATTGTCTGCACTGGACCATTCCCTTCTTTCTTCCTTCCTTCCTCCCTCGTCTACCCCGCTCCTGGCTCTCGCTCCCTCTCCCTCTCCAAAAAGGATCATTGTTAGTTTCTCCGCTCCCCCCCTCCTGTTTATTTATGCACACGTCATTGGGGAGCCCCCGCCCCCTCCTGCATCTCATTAAGTGCCTAGTGTGTTTCTTTTTCCCTGTCAATAATCCTGGATCCCAGACTTCTCCGTTCCTCCGGATTTCGATCCCCCTTTTTCTATCTGTCAATCAGCGCCGCCTTTGAACTGAAAAGCTCTCAGTCTAACTTCAACTCACTCAAATCCGAGCGGCACAGGCTCCCTATATCTGCGGCTTCTACCCCCCCTTTTTTACAGCTGACTTGTTGTTTGGTTTGTTTGCTGCAATTTTTTTATAGTTCCCCCCTCCCCCGTCTCTCCCTCCCTCCCTCCTTATATAATTTTTTTATTATTAATTTTGTGTGTGTCTACCCGCGTGTGTCTGTGCGCGCGCTTTACACGCTGATCTGATCTTCGGAAGAAAAGAGAGAGAGAGAGAAAATCCAGAAGAAGGAAAAGAAGAAACCCAAAGTCACTGGTGCAAAAGGAAAGGAGAAGGGACACTGCCCTCCCCTCCTCCTCCTCCTCCCTCTTTTCCCCTCCCCAGGAGGAAAGAAAAGGAAAAGGAAAAAACTTTCACCTTGGACTTTTTTAAAAAACAAAAAATTGCAAACTTCCCCCTTTTCTTTCTTTCTTTTTTTAATCCTTCCCCCTTTTTCCTCCCCCCCTTTCCCCTTCTTCTCTCCCTCCCCTCCCCTCTGTCCTTGCAAAATTGCTGCTGGTGGGGTAAGTCAGGAGGAAAATGCCGCAACTAAATGGCGGTGGAGGGGACGATTTGGGGGCGAACGATGAATTGATCTCTTTTAAAGACGAAGGGGAGCAAGAAGAGAAGATCTCGGAGAACTCGTCGGCGGAGAGGGATTTAGCCGATGTCAAATCGTCGCTAGTCAATGAAACAGAAACGAATCAAAACAGCTCTTCAGACTCGGAGGTAAGGAGACCCCCCCCCGCCCGCCGCCGCTCTTTGCAGCACACCTGCCTTACTCCACCTTGGGGGTTCCCGGGGAGACGCGATGCAAGAAGTTTGGGGTGGGGGTGGGGAGAAGAGAGAAAAATGCCATGGAGGGGGTGGGGGAACTGAGCTTTCGCCCGGAGTTGCAACTCTGTTTCTTATACTATGGTCGGCGACTGCCCTGTTGCTTCTCTGGTGGGTTCAGTTATCTCTGTATTTTCCGTGTCAAGTTTTGCACAAACTTCTAACTTGTTCTCTCCCCCTTCTCTCTTTCTCTCCTCCTTGCTGCTTTTATTTCCCCCTTTCCCCTTCACCAAACTGCCTCATTCATCTACTCTCCCGGTGCCCTTTTATTTTATTTTTTGCCTATTTTCCACCCTCTTTTGATCCAAGGCGGAGAGGCGGCCCCCGCCTAGGTCCGAAAGTTTCAGAGATAAATCCAGAGAAAGTTTAGAGGAAGGTAAGTTGGGCTTGATGGCTCCATCCCACCCACCCCCTTCCCCTTTCCAGGGTGGTGGAGGGGGGGGAGAGAGAGCGCGGATCTGGAGCACCCCCAAAACCGTGCTCTCCGTGGGCGCAAACAAACGCTCTTCCAAGTTTCGAGAAGCACTTTTTCTAACCGTGATTTCCCCCCCGCTTTCTGTTTTCTCTCTCCTTGTGCCTCGTTCCCCCGCCATGTTAGCTGCGAAAAGGCAAGATGGAGGGTTGTTTAAGGGCCCACCATATCCTGGGTATCCCTTTATAATGATCCCCGACCTGACCGGCCCCTACCTTCCCAATGGCTCCCTCTCGCCCACAGCAAGAACGGTAAGTCGAACGTGTGTACATGTACAGAGATACGGGATATATGTGTAAAGACGAGCGATGTTTTCCGCGCATTTGTGTCCCACACCCGCCCAGGTCCCCCTGCCGCCAGTTCCGCCCGCCCCCTCCGCTCCCGGCCGCCGCGGCGCTGCCTGAAACTTTCCAAAACTTTTGCGCCTTCCGCTGACTGCGCGCCGAGGGGGCGGGGGGAGGGCAAAGAAAGGGGCTGTTTACACTTCGCCATGTTGACTCCTTTACTTTCAGTTTTGGGGCTTCGGCCCTGGGACTTGGCAAGGCGAAGGGCACCCGGAGTCCCAGCTCCCGCTTTCTAATTTTTTTCCCCGCGCCCAGCGAGCGAGCCTCCTCCGCTCTCCTTCCCACAAAACTCTCTTTGCGATTTCTATCGCGCTCTGTTTTCCTTCTCCCCTCTCGAGTGGCGACTGGGTTTCCTTTCTCTCCCCTCCCCCTTTCCTTGCCTCCCCTTTTAACCCTTTGCTCGCTTGCGGAAACCTTCCCGAGTTACTAATTTACTGGCAGCGTTGCCATCGAGTGATTAATTGGTGTAAAATCTTATCCGGGTTTTTTTTTTTTAAAAAAACAACACTTTAGGACTCTTTGTGTTTAAAAGATTTTAAGGGTGGCAGTTAACTATAGACAGCTCTCTCCCCCCTTCCCAGTTTTCCCCTCCTGCTATTCTGTGTAAGAATTTTTTGGCATCTTTTTTTTGGAAGGGGCGAGAAATTTTTATTTTCATTCCTTGGCACACTGGCTTTCCTTAAAGTCACCAGCTTTCATTTAAATAGATCACATGTATGAGTTCCATAAGAAGATAGTGGATGTGGGCCCCATGTTTATTGTGTTGGGAAGAAAATATCGAAGCCATATATATATATATATATATATAAAGTTGTGCTTTGCTCAGCTGAGTCAGGACATAGTATAGAAAAGGCAAATGCAATCCTGCAAAACAGACACTGCCTTCCCATTAACAAACAAAAGTTAAAAGCATTATATAAAGAAACAAGCCTTCACTTGAAAGGAATATATATATGTATTCCAAAACAACTGGGCTCATCTGGAAGAATATGTGTACTTTAAGACCTTTGGGTGTGGCAGGAGGATCCGAAGGTGTGGCAGTATGAATGGAGGGAATAAGTTTCTTGTAGCCCTCAGACTGGTTTTGTTAAAACTTTTGGGAGGTGTGAAGTGTTGGTCACTGCCCTCACACATTCTCATGGATTTATGCCAGCTCTACTTCCTCTGCCCAACCATAATACAATTTTCATTAACATTGTTTCAAATACAACTTTTTTAAAAAAAAAATAAAGCCACTTCCCCTAGGGAATGCAGGATTTGTATACATTTTATCTGTTATCTCATTTTCTATTGCATCTTTTAACTGAAGTATTCTTTCCCAACCTATCCATTTAATTCTCTCTCCTCCAAACTACTGTTTGAATGCTCACCTTTTTTCTTTTAACTTGGTCATTTGAGGCAGCTATCTGAAATACAAGTTCCACTGTTAGGTAGCTGCTGAATCAGTTTCTAGACTATGGGATGTTTTCAATGTGTCCAGTCTACAATTGTTTTCAAAATGTCAGATCAGGCTTGTTTTTACTTAAAGTCCAAATTCAGATTACAAATTACAGGGGGAAAGATGACAAAATAGTGTTTACTTGTGTATTTTTAAATGTTTTCAAGGATGAGGTTAACCCAGTCAAGATATTTTATAATTTACTTTTATTTTGGGGCTATGGTCATAGCAAGGAGACATTTTGGTAACCACAGTTTTAGCATAATGGAAAAGAAAGGTGACTGGATTTTGTAATTGGAGAGGTGATGGGACAGGTAAAACGTCTTATATGTTGGTAGGCAGAGAGTGTTTGTTTTGTGGTTATTTTAATTATGTACTATGAAAGATAACCTTTTAAAATTATTCCTCAGAGTGGTTTCTGTTCAAAATAGAAATAATTTTGCAAATTTAAATTAGTGGGGCTGATGAGCATTAGGGGGAAAATTCCCCTGGAAAAAAAGAATTTTATATTTATTTACATCTTTGTCTAGAAGCACTTAGGATTTAATATTGATGCAGTCCATTACCTTTTGAAATGAGTGGGAACTATTTGTATCGAGGTTTTGAATAGATGTTTGATCAGGGCCCCAGAGTAGTTATTAGTTAATGGAGAAAATTCTTCTTGGCTATATTTAAACATTCTCTCTCTAATAACAACACACTGTTACAATGAATTCATTTCATTGTATAAAAATATATTATTTTATTGATATAACAGGTGACCTTGTTCCTTAGCATCATATGGATTCAAAAGACATTTTCCATATTCAGTAGGCAATTTGCACATAAGCCAACAGCATATTTTGGGCCCTTTCTTCTACTCCCAATGATTTGTAGAGTTTGCATTTGTGAAAGCAAGATAAATTATGGTTTAAAGAGAACCCATTATTCGTTTATGGTACAAACCAGAATGATTAAATATTACAAAGGATTTATTCAGTTTATACTGTTCAAGGTGTATTCCTGTAATTTGGCTGTTCTTTTTAACTCAAAGGTGTAAGTAAATAAATAATATTGAGTCTTACACATAGGTAGAATTATCACACAGGATTATGAGCTCATGAACCATATTTTTCACTGAAGGTTAAACAAGTTGTTTTGCAATATTGTTTCTACCTTTTTGTTTTTTGTTTTTTTATTTTTATTTAGAGGAATTTTTGTTGTTCTCATATGCAACCTTCAGTTCTTAGAAATACATAAGCTGAACACTGATTTCTGATTTTCTGCTTTAAGAAATGTAAAGAATTATGAAGTATCATTAAATCTGCTTATGATGAATAATACATTACTTTAGGAATAATGCTTTAATTGCCAAAGAGTCCATAAAGCTTGTTAGCAATAATTTTATTTTAAAATGACAAAAGATTATTCTACATAATGCTAATTTTGCTTTTGCTAAAGTAATGTGCATGGCTCTGAAGAGGACCAGTATGCAGTAAGCAGAGCTCTGTTAGAAATGAAATAATGAATTAAAGAATACACTTGTGTAGGCAATGTGGTAGTGGTTGCAATAGAATTTAACAGAAGAACAATTAAGTAGTTAGATGTAATTCTGGTTATGAACATACTGTTAATTTGCTTTTTGTGGGGGAGATTTGTTTCACGGTGCTGAGTTGTTTCACAGTGCTCATCTTTCATTTGAACCTGAATCTAAAATGGTTAGTGTAGGAAAATATGGAAGTGATATGGCTTGTGATCTGGTAAATGCCCATGAATGGAAATGTTTTAAAATAATGAATTGGAAAATGTATTTTCTCCCTTTTATTTCCTGAAGTACATAATCTTCTGCACAAGAATGTAGATCCTGGTGCACGAAGAGTTAATGGTATCCCCCCCCTTGTTCCCCTGTCTTGAATTGTTTTGACAACACTTTTCAAAAGTGTGACATTTGGAGCCCCTGCAATACAATGTAATATTACTGTAATTACACAGGTCATTACATTTTAAATAGAGAACAATGGAATGCTTATCATGCTGAAAAACAAAGAACAGGTGTTCCTGCCCTTCTTTGGTATTTATGCTAATTTGTTTTTCATCTTCCTTAGAAATATTTATTGCTCGGCACTGTTAAGATTTCTGCTTCCAATGTGATGGTTTGATTCCTGACTAATCTTGAAGGTTGAGGGCTTAGCTGATTTTTGAAATAAGGGTTATGGTGTTAAACTAGTTGGATGTTCACAAGGTACATACAGTTTTCATATGTCAGCGTGTTTGCGCTTCATGGCAGAGATAAGCTATTCACTGAATTGTACCATTCACCTTCTTGATGGCTTTAAAACAACAATGAAGTTTCCCCCCCTGTAACTGTGCAGAAACAAGCTATTCTCAGCCGATGATCTTCTGACACCAATCAAATGAAGCACGGGAGTCTGAAAACCTCTCACTTCTTAGCCCAGTTAGAATGCTGTTTCTGCTTTGCAAGTGGCTTGCGAAATATAGAATAGCAACTAGCATTAGCTTTGTTAACTTCTTTTTTTAAAAAAGGCATTTAAACTTCTCCAGCATGATTTTAAGGTTGCAGGACAGAGAGGGAATGAGTGAATTTTAAGAGACAGTCCTCCTTTGGAAGCCGAATGCAAGCTTGTGAGCCCAGAGAAGCAAAAGTTTGACGCTTCTGACTGATGGCAAAATTTGCAGCATCTTTTTGTGTGAGGGTCCCAAATATTGCCTTTTGTTGTGAGGCAATGCTAAGATGTAGTATTTTTAAATAAGTATACTAACATTTGGCTCTTGATTTGAAAGTTCCAGTTTTCATGGATTCCTAAGAAAATGCTACCCCTCCCCTTTTTAAAAAAGCAGAATAGAGAAAGGACAGCTGTAGATTTCTTTTTCTGCCCTTTTTTTTTTTTTGCATGCATGTATGTGTTTCCACACTGCACCATGACTAAAACTGTAAGGCCCCCCATTTCCAGCTGTCTGGTAGTTATGTGGAAGTTGGATTATGGGCTGTTAAGCATGAGACAACCTGGATTTAGCAAATGCTTTCCTGAACAGGGGAGTAGGTAACTGTTTGCGGGGGTGGGGGGGTTTGAGGGGAGAAAACATTTGTGAGGCACTTTGTGGCTGCTCTTGAAACATGCATGCTGCCACAATAAAATGAAGAAGGGATGCACTCTTTGGGTCAGAGTGCATCTAGTTTCCAACAAAAGAGCCCTTGCAGATAAGAGGGCATGGATGTGTGTTTTTGTAAGTGCATTCAGGGATGTAGGTGGAATTAGAATGTACTCCTTCCCACACCTTACCTGTTGTGGGAACTTTTTGTTTCTTGCTTGCTCCAGACTTTTTAACTGCTGCAGCTGCAGCTGCTGGATTGTTTGCATAGTAAGAGAGTTTGTACTCACCCAAGCCTTTGTGTGTGTATGTGTGTGTGTGTGTATTCTCTTTGTACTGAGCTATGGCAAATATGCAGGCAGAGCCTTGCCCGCTGACT